TTACAATTGGATATAGTTGTTACTCTTGGAATTGCTGATGTGTTTTCCGATTTATAGTTCCTAAAAAAAAATAAAAATAAAAAAAATCTGAATTTAGCTTTAGTCAGCTGTTTGTGGAGTACGATTTGATCGTTAAATTCATTGATGGATGTGTATATTTGTAATTGAATCATAATTTGGCAAGTGTAAACTATAATTGTTGACTAGAATGCCTGCTAGTTATAGTATATTTTAGGAAGTTTGTAGGTTCGAACTTTGTTGTGGACTTAATTTCTGTATTAGTTAAATATAATATTACGTGGAACTGATAGATTAGACTGCAAGTTTAAAACTACTGCTTTATTGTTTTCTATGGAATTATTGAGCTATCTGTTCACGAACAGAGTGACATGTTATCATGAAACAATTTTTCCGACTTATTTTGAAGTTTTGCAACTTCTTTCGTTAACTATATATGTTTGCAGTACTATAGACAAGTTTTATGTTTACAATCACAGCTTTGTGTGCTGCTGCTTTCATACGTGCTATTATGTTCTTTTTTTCTTGTTGCAATATAGCAAGTTATTTATTTTTACTAGTTTAGTTGTTCTATTCATATTAGACTGTTGTTCCATGCTTAAGTAGTGGCCTTTTTTTTTCTTATGAATGTTGCAGTTTAAAGAGATTGCACAAGCTTATGAAGTCTTGAGTGACGCAGAGAAGCGTGAAATCTACGATCAATATGGTGAGGATGCTCTCAAGGAAGGAATGGGGAGTGGAGGTGGCGGTGGCCACAACCCGTTTGACATCTTTGAATCCCTTTTTGGCGGTAGTCCTTTTGGTGGTAAGTGATTTTAACAATCCCAAGTGGTGTTTGCCTGCCTTGGACAGTAGAAACTTATTATATATGGGAATCATGCCCCCAGGTGCTGGTGGAAGCAGCAGAGGCCGAAGGCAAAGACGGGGAGAAGATGTTGTTCATCCTCTCAAGGCTTCACTTGAGGATCTCTATAATGGTTCGTCGAAGAAGCTTTCCCTTTCTCGTAATGTGCTCTGCTCCAAGTGCAAGGGGTGAGTCTTTTGTGTGTTTTACTGCATACATTGTTGTGATGATGGATTAATTATAATCTGTCGATTGATCGTCTGCAGGAAAGGTTCTAAATCAGGTGCTTCAACGAAGTGTCGTGGCTGTCAAGGTTCTGGGATGAAAGTTTCCATCAGGCATCTTGGCCCATCTATGATCCAGCAGATGCAGCATCCTTGCAATGAATGTAAGGGTACAGGTGAAACCATAAGTGACAAGGACCGCTGCTCACAGTGCAAGGGTGAGAAGGTTGTGCAGGAGAAGAAGGTTTTAGAGGTC